ACACGTGGGCCCTCCAGCCTGTGATCTGACTCCAGGTGCTGCACTCACACTACATCCACAGAGTAGGGAGCCCTCACCCAGAACAGAGCTAGAATGGAGTTTAATAAAAAGACAGGACAGACTGCAATGATCAGGTACAGAGCATGGCCAGACACGCATACTGACAAGCCACTATTTACATGCCATTGGCCCTCTTTATCTCCTTGCCCCTCTATTTTCCTATGTTTGTTACTGCTCAGATCACCTAACTCCCTCCACCAGTCCATCAAAGACACCCCTCCTCCAGTCCAGGGGAGCGTAGGGTGCAGTGGAGAGCCTGAGGAACAGGCACCTTTGCCAGGTCCCTCCCAGGGCTGTCCTGATGCAGCACAAGGTCCAGGATCCAAGTGTGAAACCCACTGCCATAAGCCACAAGGAGAAACTCCTTTCAAATTGAAGAGGATTGCTGCGGGTGGATGTGGGACATGTGGAATGCAGGGGAAGAACAGTCGGGATCGCACAAGGCTAGTGATGGGATGTTTAAGGGAGGAACCAAAAGTGTGGAAGAGGCCTGGGAGTAGCTAGACAGGGTGTTATTTGGGCTCACACACCTGCCATTGTCTCTCTGTGCTGCTTTGTGTGTGTACAGACAAGTTTTTATCACATAACCTAACACAGGCCACTCAGAGGTAACTTGCATGTTAGCTGGGCTTCCTCTGTGGGAAAAACATGGCATCTACAATAGGAGGTGTAACAGAGACTTTAAGAGGCCCACACAGATCTTTTGTGATGTTTTGGTGTTCATGTCCTGCTCCAAGAAGTTCTTGATGTCAGCTATTCCAGGGGTGGGATCAGCTCCTCAGTCAATACCAGTCTCTGCAGCCTATCATACTAGCAGGGAAGAACCTTACCTGCAACCTCATGTCTGAAGAGGTTAATCAGAAATCAGGCAGGCAGAGACAATGTCATGGCTGAACCAAACTGATGCCTTATTTTCTTTGGTCTCTAAAAGCGTGCATAGGACCAAGAGTTTTTCACTTACTGCTTTTGCTTTCCTTCAGACTTAGCTGAGGTACGATGACTGTGAGTGAATGGTTTTAGCTATTTAATGTTTGTTATTGGAAATGCTTATCCACACCAGAGGTGTTTTTTCTTATTGCTGTTGTATTTTAAGACTTAGCTACAGGAAGGCATAGCTTTTTAGACTATAGGAAAGGATGGAATTTTTTATGCTGAGGGTGGAGAAACACTGGAACAGGTTGCCCAAGAGGTGGTAGAAGCCCCATCCCTGTAAACATTCAAGGTCAGGTTGGTCAGGGCTTTAAGCAACCTGATCTGTTTGAAGATGTCCCTGCTTACTCCAGAGGAGTTGGACTGGATGACCTTTAAATGCTTCTTCAAAATCAAACCATTCTATGATTCTGTGATTTGTAATGGGCATAGTATGATGTTGCAATAGTCTCTTCAGGGGATATTAGACAGTATTCCCCTGTCAGACTACTGATGCACGCAAGACAGAACCAGGCTGACAGTGATGTAGAGGCTTGATAGCACTGCTCTGTGAACATGGTGTGTGAGGAAGCATGGAAAAAGGGATGACAGCAGAGCTGGCAACACATAGCTACAGTCTTATGGATTCGAGGCACACAGGGATGGGGTAAGTCACAGTCCCCTTGGAGGGGAAGCAGAAAGAGTCAAACTTGATGTTTTTGCTGGTGTTAGCATAATATCTGAGGCCTCATCACTATGTGCAACTTGTGAATGTTGTAGTGTCAGATAGGCTAGGTCACAGCTTTCACATTTTTTATGGTGCCAGTGGTGTCACTTGAATGGCCCAATAGTGTACAGTACCTGAAGAGACCATTCTGGTTGGCATAGCTCAGCAGTGTCTTTGCACAGTGTCTTCAAGGTGTGGCAGGCTAACAAAGAGAAGAAAAACCTGTTGCTCAGCCTCTTCTTCAGGATTTGACTACTCATGGTCACTGTTAGACACAACGGAATTGCACATATGGCCTACAGCATGCCATAGTCAGAGGACATTTACTGTACCTGCCACAGTATTGCACAACTCTGTGACCACACCAGCTGATGTCCATGGGTGATGAGGTGTTGTCTGTCCCACAGGAATAAAGTTTGCTGCTGCTGCCAGTGAGCTTACAAAATCCTCCTCATGGCTGAGCTGCCCTGTTAGGTTGATAAAATGGACCTGTCATCCTTGGTTTCTGTAATGAACTGATACAGATCCCAGAGTTTGGGGGATTTTGCAACCCACGTTTTATAGCCCAGGGTTTCATCCTGTGAATACACTGTAAAGCAGATAGGAAAGAGCCTGTGTAAAAGCACAATCCTGTCATTACACTGGAATGCAAGTAATGCTATTTTCAATGACTGTAGCTACTGTCTATAAAGTTTGTATCTGTTAACAGTAACAATTTGGCTTTCCTGAAAGAAAAAGATTATCTGCCTCAGTCAGAGGTTGGGAAAAAAAAATCATGAAAAGTAGGAAGCAGGGACCCAAAAGCCTGAACAGTCCTTTGGCAGGTAAGAGTGTTTATGAGCAAGGAGGTTTGCTACTGCTTTTGTTTCTGTGGCAAACATGAAAACAGGGCTATCTACATAGTATAAAAGCTGCATCCTGATGTGTCATCTTTTTTCTTCCTTCAAAAGGAACTTGGTAGCAATATTTTTCACAGGTGGCAATCAATCCCACAGACTTAATTTCTCAGGTGTCTGACACCTGACTTCGAGAATGAGTTTGGAGATATGGTGACACTCCACTAGGACTGCAGTCAGGGGAAGCTGACCTGTAAAGCTGTAAAATGCTTATCAAAGCGTTGACCTTGAATACTAAAAATAGTGACTACTTTTGACTTTGATTACATATCAGTGATGAAACAGTAACCTACATCTTCATGTCACTGGATTGCTGTTGAAAAAATAGCTGTGGAAAATAAATATCTATATATGTGTGTGTCTGTATGTATATCTATTCATGTATATAGGCATGTGTATGTATATATGCACACATATATATTTATGCATAAATTGCATGCAGTCAATACATTAATATGCAATATTCACACATGTATCTTATAACCTTGAGGAATGTGAGGAATATATAGCCTGTGAGGAATTTAGTGTTTCCATCTTCAAGCTGGTTTGAATAATACTCATTAAACAGAAAACAAAGAGGAAAAATTACTGAGTATCTCTCAGTCACTGAATGCTGTCTTTCATTTGTCTTAAATTAAGAATGATATCTGTGGAAAACAAGTAAAGGTTATATAACCTACTACATAGTCAGATGTGACTGTGGTAGACTGAACACCAGTCATAATTCTGTCTTTTCCTAGCTTGCTTTTTTTTTTTAAAAAAAAAAAAAAAAAAAAAAGATAAAATGGTAGAGTTGGGAATGACTGGAAAACCTTTAGAATGATGATCAGTTCTGAGACCTGCAACCTGCAATATTTAGTCTAGCCTGTGTTCACTGAGAAGTACAATGGCTGTAAGATTGGTCTGAGACAGTGGAGTACCAATGCCAAATGGCAGATGCATGGTGGACTAGATTACTCCTCTCACAACAAGCCAAATTAAGAAGCTACAAACAGAAGTCTGTTGTGAGAAAGGCAACTACACTGAGTTGTTTATCATAGCTTTTTGCTCTGGACTTCTTCAAAACACATATATAATATAGCACCACAACCTCATTGTCCAGTTAACATTGGGGTATGAAAGGAAGATGGTGATATGAGACCTGAAAAGATGGGATTGATGAGGAAGAAAGTTCTAGGGTGTGGCCCAAATCAAAATGAAGATAATTAAATTTGCTTTGTGCCTGGGAACTCGAACAAGTCATCAGATTCATAAAACCAATCAAAAAAGAAGTTGGACAGGCCCATGTAACACTAGTTGCAACCATTCAGGAGTGCTGATGGATCTATCAAATGCAGTCACTCTTTTCCCAGATTATTTTCTCTATTATGCTACAGAGACCATTTTGACATTTTTCATTGTAGATAATTAGTTTTTATTCCTGAAGGGATAGCAGGGCATCTTCAATAGGAATGGTTGATTTGGCTTCTCCAATTATCTTATTTCCAGGTGGAATATTACACAGTCCTGGGGAGGTCTCAGTGGTTCAAATCTCTTCAGATTGTGAAAGGACAAGTTCTCTGAGTATTAGATTAGTACAGAGAAAATGTGACACTTTTTCTCCTTGTTTTCAAATAAGTGACCATGGATTCTCTGAAGAATGCTAATATCTATAAAGAATTAAAATACACATTTTTGAGTGAGATGTGGACTAGATCACTCCTCTCAGAAGAAGCCAAATGAAGAAGCTACAAGCAGAAGTCTACTATGAGGAAATCAGCTACATTGAGTTGTTTATCATAGCTTTTTGCTCTGAACTTATTAAAAAGTGGCTGCCTGAACAGCTTAGAAGATTCAGGGGACTTTTGGGAACAGAGTATAGACAATGAACAACTAACTATATGAGGTAGCTGGTTGTGCTGCCGCTGGAATGTTGGTTTACACATCACTTTCATGAATGAAAGTTAAAACTAGGCCTCATTTTAGGTTTAAATGTCCTCTATATTATGTTTCAAAGTGGCTTAAAGGACTGAAGAGGTTTAACCTTAAAAAAAGATCTTCTTGCAAATAAGACACACGATTCAATAGAACAATCTATGATTAGACTGGATTACCAGAAGATACAATAAATTCTTATTCTTTGAACAGAACTCTTGAGTTAAAATCTATCATATTCCTAAATCAGAAGTTGTAAAGGATAGTTACATTCTGTTGCAAAGAAATAATTATTTTCTCCCTTAAGGAATTCTTAGATGAAATTCCATGGTGAGAATGGAGCAGGATGTCTGATTAGATCACTTTAACAGTGGCTAAAACACTTTGAAACTACCTGAAGTAAGAGTTTAATTGAATGAATGTAAATAAGGAAAAGTGTAAACCTTATAATTATTGAGGATAATGATTAAAAGACAAGAGTGAACTTCTCATTATTTCCATGGGAAAATCTCTACAATTTTTATTATCTAGGCATTCATTATCTAGAGATTGATAACAACAGTGATTACAAAATCAAAGCGATAGAATTTCACATTTTGTGCAATTCCCTTCACTTCGCACCACTGGTGGCATTCACTCTTCACTTTCTGCCTTCTTGCCAATTTCACGGCTCTTTGCTCGGAGCTTGTTGACCTGCGACTCTGCAATGTCAGCCCGCTCCTCGGCTTCCTCCAGCTCATGCTGGATCTTGCGAAACTTTGTGAGATTGACATTGGACAGCTCCTCCTGGGGAAAGGAACAGAGATAAAATAGGTTTTAAAATGTTTAATATTGTTCCTGCTGTAACACTGCACTGAACATGCTGTGGTATTTTGCCTTCACATAATGAAAAAAAAAAAGACTGTGAGGTAATATGTAACTCTCTAATGCTTCTAAAGAAACAGCTTAAATGCTAAATGTTTAGATGGTCAATACAGTATACCAGGAATACCTCTCTGGATATGAAGTGGTAATGCACTTTGGAATTTTTTAAAAATTACAATTATTTTCATTAAATAATTTTCCATTTATTTACTGTTATAAAATTATGTATTACAATTTTTAAAGGTCTTTTTTTTTTTCTGTTAGACAGAAATCTGAAATGAAATGAAAGGACACAGAGACCTGCTCCCATAATGTTGATCTGAGCCTTCGCTGCTCTTCACAGTGATACAAGAATGCTCACAAAAAATGTATTCTACACCCCTCTAGACCCCTGAGCTGTTCAGCCAGAACAGCTGTTCAGCTGATCATGCCTGAGTGCACAGAAAGAAAAAGACAAAAAAGACAAACAGAGCTACACAGGGGAAAACACCAACACGGAGTTCCACCTCCACCTGGATGGAGACTAACTGCACAGAACAATACGTACAGCCTCCTCAGCTTGTCTCTTGTAGGATTTCACTTTCATTTGAAGCTTGTCCACCAGATCTTGGAGCCTGAGAACATTTTTCCTATCTTCTTCAGACTAAAGAGAAAAACAAGAAAGAGAAGCACTTCCTTGACCCTCCTTTTTAAATGCCCTCTCATGAAACAGAGAGTAACATTCCTTATAGACCATTGCTGTCCAGTAAGACAGAGGTGATAATCTGGATCTATCTAACATAACCAGAAAGATAGTTTCTTCTGATGTTCTCAGACTTCTTTTTAATTGTGTGACTCAGGAGAGAAAGAAATTCTGAAGGACTACATTTTGTCTTCCTGGAAGAGGGTATATCAGCCCACAGAGGCCTCCTGCCTTACCTGGTAGGTCAGCTCCTTCACCCTCCTCTCATACTTGCGCACACCCTTCACCGCTTCTGCACTGCGCTTCTGCTCAGCATCAACCTCCCCTTCCAGCTCACGCACCTGCAATGAGAAGCCCATCTTTGGAGCTTCCCTGCTGGCTGCTTACGTGACATGCTTGCAGGTGCACAAATACCAGCCCTACGCACTCTGGCCTCCAGCTTCTGGATTTGCTTCTTGCCTCCCTTCAGTGCCAACTGCTCGGCCTCATCCAGACGGTGCTGCAGGTCCTTCACCGTCTGGTCCAGGTTCTTCTTCATCCTCTCCAGGTGGGCACTGGTGTCCTGCTCCTTCTTCAGCTCTTCTGCCATCATGGCTGCCTGATGAGACCAAAGAACCAAAGGCATTTTGGGGCTGGAGACATTTTAGGGGAGAATCCATCCTTGATTAGCAGTGAAAGGAGTCCATGACTCACATCTGTGATGGCTTTCTTGGCCTTCTCTTCAGCATTGCGGGCTTCCTGGACTGTTTCCTCCATTTCACTGTGAATTTGGGCAATGTCTGTTTCCAGCTTCTTCTTGGTGTTGATCAAGCTGGTGTTCTGTTGAGCAGCATCAAAAGTTTGTTTTTGTTAGCTCATTCTAAAGCATACAAATATTCTCCTTCTTACCAAGAGTGTCATTTCTCACCAAGTGACCTCACCTGGGTATGAAGGAGCTGCACACGCTCACTTGCATCCATAAGTTCCTGCTCAGCCACCTTTCTACACCTCTCTGTTTGTTCTAGTGCTGCCCGTAGCTCCTCAATTTCAGCCTGCAACAGGTTTGCTCTGCGCTCCACCATGGCCACCTGCTCCTTCAGATCTTCCTGGGTCCTGAGAGCATCATCCAAATGTATCTGGGTATCCTGTAGAACAATTGAAAGACATTATAATAAGATTCAGAGAAGTTTGGCACTGAAAATATCAGATAAGCTATTTCTCTGTAGGCAACTTTTGTTTTATGGACCTTGAGCACTCCCTGTGTGTTTCTCAGGTTCTTTTGTGCCTCTGCAGCCTGGCGATTGGCATGGCTCAGCTGGATCTCTATTTCATTCAGGTCTCCCTCCATCTTCTTCTTCAGTCGCAGGGCTTCATTCCTATCTCAGCATCCAGGCTGCTTTGCAAGGACTCCACAACTCGCAGGTGGTTTCTCTTCAGCTGATCGATTTCTTCATCTTTCTCTGCTATCTTCCTGTCAATCTCAGACTTCACCTGGTTGAGCTCAAGCTGGAGGCGCAGGATCTTCCCCTCTTCATGTTCCAGGGAGGCCTGGGAAAAAATAAATTAGAATACTTTTTATGTGACAAATGTCGAACCTGAATATCAAGTAAAAAAAGGTGCCATGTTTAGACAATAGCTTTACAAACACTTTATGCAAACACTCTATGCAAACACTCTTTTCCTCTTGTGTCTGGGAATGACTTCACAGTGTTTATAATGAGATAGCTCAGTAAGAGAGCAATGAATAATGCTGTGTACCTCAGCTTCCTCCAGGGAGGCTT